GGAGGTCCGGGAGGTCCAGGAGGTCCAGGAGGTCGAGCAGTTCCAGCAGCCAGCATCGCAAAATCGGAACCACAATGCAAAGAAAAAGAAAATGGGTGACAAAATCCTACCTCAAGGGATTCATGAACTGGTACCAGAATCTCAGGCCTATACGGATCTCTTGGCTTTTGAAAGGAAACTGGACCAGACTACCATGATGAAACGGCTGGAGATCCAGGAGGCCTTGAAACCTCCCATTAAGCAGAAACGGAAGCTGCGAATTTTCATTTCGAACACTTTCAATCCGGCCAAGTCAGATACGGAGGATGGGAAAGGGACGGTGGCTTCCTGGGAGCTTCGGGTAGAAGGACGGCTTCTGGAGGATTCAGTTTTTTCCAGATATGATGCCACCAAACAAAAGAGGAAGTTCTCTTCCTTTTTTAAGTCTTTGTTTATCGAACTGGACAAAAACCTATATGGGCCAGACAACCATCTGGTAGAATGGCACAAGACCGCCACTACCCAGGAGATAGATGGTTTCCAGGTGAAGCGGCCAGGAGATGTGAATGTAAGGTGTATTATTCTACTGATGCTGGATTACCAGCCTCCCCAGTTTAAATTAGACCCTCGCTTGGCTCGGCTCCTGGGCATCCACACCCAGACTCGTCCAGTCATCATCCAAGCATTGTGGCAATATATTAAGACACATAATCTCCAGGACCCTCATGAACGGGAATTTATCATCTGTGACAAATACCTCCAGCAGATCTTTGAGTCTCAGCGTATGATGTTTTCAGAGATCCCTCAACGACTTTATGCCTTGCTGATGCCACCAGAACCTATCATCATTAATTATGTCATCAGTGTTGATACAAATGATCAGAAAAAGACAGTTTGTTATGACCTTGATGTAGAAGTGGATGATACCTTGAAGACCCAGATGAATTCTTTTCTCCTGTCTGCTGCCAGCCAAGAGGAGATTGCTACTCTGGACAATAAGATCCATGAGACGGTAGAAGCTATCAACCAGCTGAAGACCCAGCGGGAATTCATGCTGAGCTTTGCCAGCAACCCTGAGGGTTTCATAAATGACTGGCTTCAGTCCCAGTGCCGCGACCTCAAGACAATGACCGATGTGGGTATCCCAGAGGAAGAGCGCCGAGCTGAGTTCTACTTCCAGCCTTGGGTTCAGGAGGCTGTATGCCGTTACTTCTACTCCAAGGCGCAGCAGAGTCAGCAAGAATTAGAGCAAGCCCTGGGAAACTGGAATACATAGGGCCTCTTCCACAGTCCTGATTTGGCTGCACCAAATCTTTATTTGGGCCCTGTGCTCGGGGAGCCTTTCCAGGCAAGCCATTCCAGGGGATGCTGTTGGTTCCAGGACAACACCAGAATTAAGAGGGTATCAAATTTCTTTTTTCTTTTTTTCTTTTTTTTTTATTTTTTGCAGTTTTTGGCAGGGACTGGGTTTGAACCCACCACAATCGGTATATGGGGCTAGGGCCCCACTCCTTTGAGCTACAGGCACTGCCTGGGTGTCAAATTTCTTTTTCTTTTTTTTTAAATGAAAGGATTTTATTGAGCACTTATTAAGTATTCAGGACTCTCTTGAGTCTTTAGATACATTAGTACTTTTTTTTTTTTTTTTTTTTTTTTTTGGCCAGGGCTGGGTTTAAACTTGCCACCTCTGGCATATTGGGCTGGCACCCTACCCTTTTGAGCCACAGGTGCCACCTGTCAAATTTCTTTCTTGCAAGACAGCTATTACCCTCTTCTCTGACCCCATCCCTTACCACCCCCAGCTTCCCTTTGTCTCACAGTGCTCCCATGTGCCTCTACCCTCCCCTAGTCTACATAGGACCCATAGTGTTAGAGAATCTTTAGTGGTAATCAGTGTTCAAAATGGAGTGAGTCTAAGGCCACATGGTTTTCATGGGGACCAGCTACACTGATCCTACCCTTTGATCCAGGAATTGGGACCTTTATTGCCCCTTGTCCAAGACTCAGGCCTGGGGCCCATCTATAAGCTAATTGAATCCAATTTCCTTTCTTCCCTCCACACCTTTGGAGCAAACTCTCCTTTCACTTGCTGCCCTCTAGCGCTAAAGGAACCCTGGCTTTTGGGCGCCAAGGTGCCCCAGGTCGGTCCCCAGCCCTCAGGATTAGCTTGCTCTCTCAGTGCTTCTCTTACTGCTTAGTAGCGGGTTCATATCAGTATTTGAGTTTGTTCTTTAACTATTGCTTCCTCCCAGCATACTCCTTGTAGCTGCCCTTTTAGGATTCCCTCATTATTTGTCCTAACACAGGACATTTGGGTGGGGGAATCTTGCCTTTCCCTTTTAGAACCACAGGGATCTAATCTGGGGCACTGTCATTGCCAGCAGAGGCTGTTCTTTCCTGCTGTTGGCTGGGAGATGTGACTCATTCACTCTGCACTGCCCTGCTACCCCATCCTTTAATGGAGAAGCAGACTTAAAACCACATGGGTACAAGCCCTAGGCCATCCCTGTCTTCCTGTCCCTTGCCTGCCCACTTGACACCCACTGGTGACTTCTAGGGCACTGAGGAGTAAAAGCACCTAGGGCTGGAGAATAGTGCTGAGTTGGGTTTGTGACTCTTCCATCTCCCTGCCTCACAGGATTGTGGCTCCCCAGCACCTACCCTCAAAGCTTCAGGCCCCTCAGGTAGCAGCAGGACCTTATGATCTTGGCCCCTTAGAACTGCCATGGTTTTGCATCTTTTCCAGGAGAGCTTCAGATTCTTCTTCTGGGTTGTATCACTCCAAGTTAGCATATCCCAGGCTCACAGACTCTACACAGCAGGGTGGGAGACAGCTGGGCACAGGGGGGGAAATTCCATTTAGAAGTATCTCTAAAGCCACAGAACTGACAAAGCCCTTTCTTTCCTAGCCCCCTTTCAGATTTCTGTGAGCCCATCCCCCCAGCCCCTTATTTAACCTGCCTGTTCTGCACTGGGGGCAGCAGAATTTTCTCTGCATCCTCCCTTTCCTGTTGTTATCCTTCTCCCAAGAGGCTCTCCCTAAAGGGACACTGGACAATCTTGGGGCAGTTGCGTCCTGGCCCAGCTCCTGGCTGGAACCATGAGAAGCAAGCTTAGCACTCCTACTACAATGTCCCTGTTGAAGATAACTTTTTTTTTCAGTTTTCATTTTTCCATTTTTTGTTCTGTCCCTTTATTGTTGTAACCCAGTTTCAATAAAAGAATCTTTTGAAAAAAAAAAAAAAAGTGGAAGGGATTTATTTCAGCCGGCAGAGCCACAGTGGACTAAAGTCCAAAAGTGGCTGCGCTACCCGACTAGCTGTGTTCTTTCCCTTTTATCTAACCCACCCAAGGGTTCCTTGTCCACAGGTACCCTTCTCATTGGTCAGTTTGAATTGAGCTGAAGAAGGTGGGGACAGGCTTTTACAGAAGCAAGAATTGGTTTTAAGGTCCCAGGAAGTTAAGTTTCTACAGGAGCTGAGTCACTATGGGGAGGAAGTCTTTGGGGCTTCTTTGAGAAGCCTTTTGTCTTTTTAGACTACTTTTTCTGGGTATCCTCTCTGAGTAACTGTTAAAAGAAAAAGGAAAAAAATACACATTTCAAAATAGCTAGAGAAGATTTTGAATGTTCCAACACAAAGAAATGATAAACATTTGAGGTAATGAATATCCTAATCACCTTGATTTGATCATTATACATTGTGTTTATGAAAATGCTACCTATACCCCATAAATATATACAATTATTATATATCAATAAAAATAATTATTTAAATGTAGTGATTAATTGCCACAGCCACCCTGATTGTATTAGGTATTATAAGTAAAAATGACTTAAAGAATGTGAGAGGATATAAGTTTTATTTTAAGAGTATAAGGTAATAAGTATACTTATGGCTTAGCACCTGTGGTTTAAGCAGCTAAGGTGCCAGCCACATACACCTGAGCTGGAGGGTTCGAATCCAGCCTGGGCCTGCCGAACAACAATGATGGCTGCAACCAAAAAATAGCTTGGTGTTGTGGGCACCTGTAGTCCCAGCTACTTGGGAGGCAGAGGCAGGAGAATGGCTTGAGCCTGGGAATTGGAGGTTGCTGTGAGCTGTTATGCCATCCATGGCACTCTACCCAGGGTGACAGCTTGTGGCTCTGTCTCAGAAAAAAAAA